CATCACATATTTAATTATTCAATCACATTAAGAAGATTTGGGCAATCATCACCACAACCAATTTCAGAACATTTTCTTGTTCCACGTACTCATGGTTGTTAGCTCCCCATCTCCCCCAACCTTGCCCCCTAGTTCATTATCAATCCACTTACTGCCTCTATACAAATCTATGTATCCTGGATTTCATATACAGAAAATCATACAAATCACAAACAGGAAGGAATAGAACACAAAAACCAACAGCAATGACTAGACAAAACGAAGAAAAACCTCAATTAAAAAGAAAGCAAAAATATTGAACACTGAAATCACTTTCAAATGAGTCAAAGGGGGATTTTTTAGTTTAAGATGTAAAGATTAGCATCTCAGGGCAATAGCTTTGGGGAGTGGGGATGGGCAGGGCCAGCCATGCTGACTCCAACATGTCGAAGGGTATGGAATGTGCGGCTAATCGTCTCCACGGACAACTGCCTGTTTGGCCACGAGAGCAGAGAGAAGAACTGACGGTGCCCAGCGAGCGTTACCGAATCTGTAGATGAATGCCAATCAAAGGGGGAGAGCGGATGCAGAACAGAAATCCCATTAATTGATTTAGTAAAAAGAAAGAAGTGGGCTCTTTCCTGCCTACATGGCTAATTTACTTCTGACACCGTTGTAAGTTCAAAAGCAGGCTTGGAATATAATTCGGATGATTACATAATCAATGCCTCACCCCTGCCTTTCTCCCCTTGATGCATGTGACTGGCGGGGGGAATTCAGGAGAAGCACACGGCTCCATCCTCCGGAGCTCATGGACCAGTGAGGGAGATAGACTAAAAAAAAATTTTTTTTAAACAAGATAGCATGAGAAGTTCTAAGGGTGAGGGCCATGCTTGCACTGAGAGGCCTGAGAGGTAGTCATGAAGCAGGGATTCTGAGCATACCAAACCAAACCAAACCAAACCAAACTCACTGCCATCGACTTGATTCCAACTCAAAGTGACCGGATAGGACACAGTAGAACTGCCCGTGTGGGTTTCTGAGACTAACTCTTCACAAGAGTAGAAATGCTCATTGCTTTCTCCAGCAGTGTGGCTGGTGGTTTCAAACTGCTGACCTTGTGGTTAGCTGCCCAGTGCATAAACCACTATGCCCCCAAGAGAGGCTTAATGAGATCCCACCAAGACCTTACATAACTGTTGCTAAAGGTGAGTTCACCAGTGTGCTGGGAGAGTTTGCTCTCTCCACCCCCATCCAGGTTCCGCTGCGCCCCTTGCTCCCGCCTCTAGCTCACCAATAGTGACCAGCCACTGTCAAGCCGGTCCTACCTCTGGGTGTCAGAGGAGAACTGTGCTCCACAGGCGTTCCCTGGCTGGTTTTACAGAAGTAGATCACCAGGCCTTTCTCCTGAGGCACTTCTGAACTCAACCTCTAATCTTCGGGTTAGCACAAGAGTCTGTGAACTGTTTTCGGCACCTGGGGAGTCCCTCCTTTATCTAGCCATCTCACCCATTCACTCGCTCACTGTCATCGAGTCAAATTTGACTCAGAAGAACCGGGCAGGACAGGGTAGAACTGCCCCTGTGGGTTTCTGAGACTAATTCTTTTTGAGAACAGAAAGCCTCACCTTCCTCCCTTGGAGCAGCTGGTGGGTTCAAACTGTTGACCTTGCAGTTAGCAGCCCAAGGTGAACGCCACGGCAGCACCAGGACTCCATGGATATATCTAGCAGGTGACACAAAGGAAGGGTGGTCTGATCAGACTCCTCAATTAAAAATAAGACTAGAATCCCCTCGAACAGTAAATACCATGGAGCTGGGAGGGCTTGGGGGAACAGAGAAGCCGCTCCAGCATGGAAGCCCTGGTGAATCTTTAGACAGGGAGCTCATGGACATACCGTGCTTCTGAAGCTCCAAGCCCAGGGTGAAAAGGTACAAGTGCATGGCCATGTGCATGCGAAACCTCTTACTAGCTTCCGTGATGAGTGCTATAAAGCACATCTTCCTCCTCCTCTACACAGGCTTCCAACCAAAAGGAGCATTCTGTGAGCTGTTCCTCTGCCGCCCTGCGTTTCTCTGTGAGCAGACAAATTAATAAGTCAGGAGTTAGGACCCAGAGATATTTTTCAGACTTACACGGTCTGACAGCTGACTGGCAATCAGTGAAGTGTGCTTTAAACAGCATCACACTGATGTGAGGCAGCTGGGGAGAGTATTTTAGTCCGATCCAGGTGTCGGCTTTCACCTGGGTTCCGGGTCGGACCCTCCACCCCGGCACTTTCAGACTGAAAACCCCATTCCCCAGTGGAAATACGCAGCCGTTGGGAAGGAAGAAAGTGTCTTTCTAAAGCTGACACCATGAGGCTGCCAGCGTTGATGTGGGCGCTCGTGGTCCTCGGAGCCTCGGGTAAGCTCAAGCTCCACTAACCCCCAAGTGCAATCGCCGAGCGATTTAAGCCAGGGAGGCAGGGCCGTGGCACTAATTATGCTCGCCTCGGAAAACGACGCAGGTAGGTATCTTCCAGGTAACTTTGACAACGTGGACCGTGGAGTCGTTCTGGGGAACCTTATCCATGCTGGCCATCATGTTTCCGCTCTTCTTGTTTCAGACCACTGGGATGGTCTTTCTTGCTTGTCAGGAAAAGACAGGCGCAGGGCACACCTTGCTGGCTGCCCTGGCGCTCCCCGGGAAATTGTTCAAGTCTTTGGCACAGAAATGCACCCGATCAGCATTTTTGTATCATTATCTGCTAATAATCACGTTATCTGTGTGTAGATATTTCATTTTGCCCAATATGTGCTGAAGCCTTGTATAAGTGTTTTGGTAAGTTTGGGTGGGTGGGTGGGGGCTGGATCATTACGTTCGTATGTCACCATTAAACAGAAAGCTACCAAATGTCTGTGAACGTTGCACGGCTTCTTAACCAACTGAAAACAGGAGAATCCTGGCTTGACAGAGAGAGGACAGATGGGCTTAAAAAGAGAGAAAGAGGGAGGGAAGGAGGGAGGGAGAGAGGGACGGAGGGAAGGAGAAGAAAGGCAAGGGGAATAAAAGATAACAATAAAGAGACAAAAAATACTGGAAAGTCTACAAGCAGTGGTCGTTCACACCTGCCACCTTCGGGGTCTTGGGATCACTTCCACTTTTCGTGTAACTTAGAGCAAACCCATTCCAGCCGGGCAGGAACGCATCTGAGCCTTGCAGCCAGCTGGTGAGAGAGCATTCTCATCGTATTTCTTTCTCCTCGGTGTTTTCTCCACATTTGAATATTGGGATTCTTAGGGGGACAATGGGAGATGCAGAGGTGGATTCACCCAACCCCAGACTTAAACCAAGATGTAAAAAGTTGTAGGGCCAGGAGATCCGCCTAAAACATCGTCATCGCGTCAAAAAGCTTAGCCTTTCTCTCCTCGGCCTGGAAACATGCAGAGGAGTGTCAGTACAGAGAACAAACCCAGTATCACTCAGTCTGTCTTCCACAAAGTTACCCACCGCAAAAATAATATCCGGCGTCTCTGCAGAGTGGCACCAGAGAATGTATCTATTTCTATCCTTTTTTTACGAGAGCACCCTATGTCTTTTGAAAGAATTGATCTGCACCATTCTTTTCTGAGGGCAACCATCCCTCTGGCTCACAAGGGCAGTGAGCACACACCCTCTGGGCTCCAGGGTCATTGTCCTCTAGGCATGATAATGGTTGAGTAAGTACATCCGAGTTGGAGGGGAGCCTGGTCCTAGTTCTCCATTGTGTAGGATGCAGGATTGTGTGGTGAGGCCCGCTGAGCTGCCAAGGATCCGAAATAAATCTATCTAACAGCCTGCAACAAAGGCCCCAGCTGTGAACATTTCCGGATCCATTGAAATCTATTTCTATTTTCAGCTACGACCACCTTTCCTGGGTTCTTTAATCTTCGAACCCACTGGAAAGAATATAGTTTTGTTTTAGTACATATAAATATCGATGTACACACAGGTGGTGTTTTTTTCTACTTATTTCCCACAATAAAACGTGTGCCCATTCAACGTTTTTCACATGTACAACCCCCAGTGGCATTGATGATGTTTTTCATGTTATATGCAACTGCCACCGCTACCCATTGCCAAAGGGTTCCACCGCCACGATCGGAAACTCAGCGCCCAATAGCAATGACCTCCTCACGCCCCCACCCCCAATCTCTGCTAGCAAATATTACACTCTGGTGTCTCTCTAGTTCTCTATTCCAGATATTTCATAGAAGTGGGGCCACACGGTGTTTGTCCTTTTATGGGATAGCAGTAGGTTGCAATAGATTTATTTCACTCGGCAGAATGCATCTCCAGTTGATGCATGTGGTAGCATGTATCAGGACCCCAGTGCTCTGGATGCCTGAGGAACCTTCCATTGTACACCTTTGTTTCTCCGTGCACTGGCTGGTGAATGTGTGAGTTGTGTCCACCCTTCGGTTACTGTGGACAGTTGGATAGTGGCCCAAGGAGCCATTGGTGTGCACGCTTTGGTGTGCCTTTGTGCTTTCAAGATTTTATGGTGGAGGGAGGGGGTCTATGCCTAGGATTGGGATGGCTGATTCCTATAAATGAGTTCTACATTTAATGTTTGGAAGAACTACCAGCTATTTTTCTACAGGCGCTGGGCTGGAAAATACTACCTTCTGGTTACACAAAATTACCTTGTTCAAATGACAAGGAGCAACATTTTGAGATTCTGCTTTGGTAGCAAAGGCAGTCATATAGGACTGTAGCCAGATGACCTCTCTTACAGTGCTCACTTGAACGTGCATGCTGTGTCTGCTCCCAGGAAGCGGGGACTAGGCCTAATGCACGCTCCCATCATTGTTACCATCTGAGGGCTTCCGTGTTTTCATGTAGGTACTCAGTGGCATCTCAATAAATATTTACTAGCCATGGTTCCAGTATTGGGGATGCGAGTGGGAACAAAACAATGCCATTTTAATAAACACGCAGGCTAGTAAGACTTCATTAGACACTTATTATTGGACTCCACTTCTGTGTTGACAAGGCTGGCTCTTCGGGTTGACAGAACAGGCTTTTATTCGGGCAGAGGGAGTGATAATGACGGCAAAAACCAAAGTCTATCAAAATGTCGAGACTAAAGTTATAAGGGCATCTCTCAGAACCATACTTGCCAAGGTTTGAACTGTTTCAATTTCTTCTTTACTCTCTTGGCTAAGGATAGACGATGGCATTCAATGTCTTTAGAAAATCCATAAGCCATCATGGAAAGCTTCATCTATTAACTTTTGTCCGTCTTAACGAGTTTGTCAAGATTTTGCTAAAGGCGGGTGGAGCTGAGGGGGTGGAGAGAAAGCAGGGCATGCTGAGGGCCTGAGAAAGGGAGTGAGACCCAAAGGCCAACTCTGACTTCAAAAATGGCTTGGTGTTTGTTTTTCTTAAGCTGGTCTGAGCACCTTATTCAGATCCCTCACATTTCTACTTACTGGATTTGAGAGAGTCCTAGCTCCTTAGGCGGAGTCCTCTTTAATTTCTTCATAGTTTTTGATGTTTTTAGCTAAGTCTAGCCTGACCCCCACCTTGCAATGACTCGATCCCCCAAACTCCATGATGGGTTTGAATCGGACCATTGCGGTGATGGTTTTGTTGCTGTTTGTTGGAGTGGGGGTGGGACAGTAGAATTGCTGAGTCAGAAGGCTTTCATTGACTGATTTTCAAAGCAGTTTACCAGGCCAATCTTCTCAGTCCATCCGGAAGCTCAGCTGAAACCTGTTCAGCATCACAGCATGAGCTGCATTGACCGGGAATTGAACTGGGTCTCCACAATTCTACCAGGGACCCACCACCGCCCTCACTGAGAGCTTTCCCTGAATGCTTTCTCCATCCCCACAGGTGGCATTCAGGAGTGGAGGGCGGTGCCTCCATCCAGGACACATCTTAAACTTTGACTCTTGTTTGTCTCTTGGGCACAGTAAAGATCCGGCATTGATAGACTGTTTTGGGTATTTATTTCATGGACACCAAGATCCTAGAAGCACAGGGCAGGCCAGCTGCAAGGGGCCTTTGAAATCATCCCCCCC